GTAGATTTATGTTTTGTGCTCTAAGTAGTGATTATGTTTAAACTGTATGTTGTGTATAAAACGAAAAACCGTCTTGTGGGGTTTTGACTAATGATGAATGAATTTTGGAATTGTGAAAGTTATACCACTGAATGAGGTTAATTGTGAAATGATTATTACTCTTTGATTATGATTTGAGCATGATGCATTGATTGGGAATTTGGTGAGAGTTTTATCTGTTACTACCACGTGGTAAGGCCTCCATTAATGCATGATGGTTGGCTTAGTACGTCCCCCATAGTGAGGGATAGGCCTTTTGGCTCCCTACGTCCCCCAGAGTGAGGGATAGGCCTTTTATGGCTCCTTACGTCCCCCATAGTGAGAGATAGGCCGGCTTCGGCTCCTGAAAATCCCCCAAAGTGAGGGATTTGGTTGATGGGATTGCATCATTGCACTTACATGAATTGTTGTGGCTATCAATATATATTATTTGTGAACTGCCCCACTTGACACCTCACGAGCACCTATTTAGTAGTACCTAGTATTGGAAAGGCTGGTTACTGGGACTTTGTCTCACCCCGTGGTTTACAATGTTTTCAGGTGAAAGTTCTAGGCGTGCGCCTTCGGGAAGAGACGCAGAGGCTTGAGCTTGGTTAGCTCTAGGCCTCTAGCCTTTATTTATATATGATCGGTTGTATATTGCCACAGTTAGGGTCTTTTGTGATATTTTGATTGTTGATCTATTGTAAATTGGAAGATGCGTTATCTCCTTATTTTAGTTGGCCGGAGGCCATTGCTATTGTTTTATGGAACTTTGTTATATGGTTGAAAACGATTTGGATGGGCTGATTTTTGATGTGTGTGTTACCCGGGCCGGAGGCTCGGAGGCTCAGTGGATATGAATGGATTATTTTAGTTGCATGCAACTTCTTACGGGTTGACCCGAGTTTGAAAGTCAATTTCTAAAAATATGAAATTTTCCTTCTACTATGGTAGCTCGTTTTAACAACTTTCCTTTTCTACCATAGTAGTGGTCTTATGAAGAGTATTGATGTTTAAGGTTAAGGGTTTTACATGCTGGCCCAACCTACGGCCCTATGCCCCTCACAAACTTGCCCCACGATCTCTTTATTGTGTTTTCATTGGTTATGCTCCTAATCATTTGGGTTACCTATGTTTGCATCTTCCTTCAGGCCGCACATATATCTCTCGAGATGTGATTTTTGATGAATTCATCTTTCCCTTCCAAGCCCAACATGATAACCGTGAGCCCAATCCTCCCACCCCTCTCCCTCCCTTCTCTACTCGGCCCACTCCTCCCATAAACCAACCCATTACCGACAGCCCCTGTCCCTTTCCTTCTTCTCCCAATACCCCGTCCTCTGTCTCTTCTGACTCCACGCCGACCTCTCTCTCTCCCTCCCCTGTTTTTTCGCCTGCACCACGTTCCTTTGCTCCACCACCGCCTGCTACCGTGCTGTCCCCTCATCGTTCTTCCCACCCCATGATCACTCGCTCCAAAGTAAATACCTTTAAACCCAAAGCTCTACCACCTGACTTTCTCTCTCATATACCCCCTCACGCTCACCTGTCCTCGGTCTCTGCCCTCTCTGTCCCATCTTCTGTCTCTCAAGCGTTCAGAGTACCCGAATGGCGACAGGCCTTGCAAGATGAATACCAAGCTCTTCTTTCTACCAACACATGGGATCTGGTTCCCTATTCCCCTTCTATGAACATCGTCGGCTGCAAGTGGGTCTTCCGGACAAAGTTTCTTCCCAATGGTTCTCTTGACAAGTTCAAAGCGAGACTTGTTGCTAAGGGGTTTCACCAACAACCTGGTGTTGATTTTGCTGATACTTTCTCTCCGGTGATTAAACCAGTGACCGTCCACCTTATTTTATCAATCACCGTTTCAAACGGTTGGCCAATCAATCAGATCGATGTTCAAAATGCCTTCCTCCATGGCTTTCTCACTGAGGATGTCTACATGCACCAACCACCTGGATTTGTCCATCCTGATTTCCCTTCCCATGTCTGCAAATTGCGCCGAGCAATATATGGCCTCAAACAGGCACCCTGCGCTTGGTACGCTCGACTCAGTGCTCGTCTTTTTGAACTCGGCTTTTCTTCCTCCCGGTCAGACTCTTCCCTATTTATTTGTCACAACTCAAAATGCACCGTTTATGTTCTAATTTATGTTGATGACATCATTGTTACTGGATCATCTGCTGTTGTGGTTCAAGAACTTATTACTGCCCTTGGACTCTCATTTCCTGTCAAAGACCTTGGTAAATTACACTATTTCTTAGGTGTTGAGGTTCTTCAGTCTTCCTCTGGCCTAATTCTCTCTCAACGCAAATATATCCTGGATCTCCTTGAGAAAGCTCACATGTCCAAGGCACGTCCGGTCTCTCTACTCCTATGGCATCTGGCTCTGTTCTCACTGCCTCCCTTGGTCCTGATTTTACCGATCCTCATCACTACAGAAGCATTGTCGGTAGTCTTCAATATCTCAGCTTTACTCGTCCTGATATTACCTTCGCTGTCAATCGTGTTTGTCAGTATATGCATAATCCAAAAGACCACCATTGGACTGCTGTCAAACGTATTCTCCGTTACCTAAGAGGCACCTCACATCTTGCTCTTCACATTACGCCCTCTTCATCACTTACCCTCTCTGTCTTCTCTGATGCTGACTGGGGGGGAAACCCGGATGATTTCAGATCTACCGGTGCCTTTGCTATTTACCTTGGTCCTAATCTCATTGCCTGGAGTTCAAAAAAACAAGCCACGGTGGCTCGATCCAGCCCTGAGGCCGAATACAAGGCTATTGCCACCAGTGCAAGTGAGGTTATTTGGGTGCAAAATTTGGTACATGAGCTTGGTATATTTCTGCAAGAGGCCCCCTTTCTTTACTGTGATAATTTAGGCGCTACCTATCTCGTCGCCAATCCAGTTTTTCACTCTAAGGCCAAACACATTTCCCTTGATTATCATTTTGTTCGCGAAAGACTTGCAGCTGGCCTCTTACACATTCTTCATGTCTCCTCCAGGGATCAAATTGCTGATATTCTCACCAAACCTCTATCCACTTCTCGGTTTGTCACCTTGCGATCGAGTCTCACTGTGCTTCCAGCTCAGTTCAACTCGCGGGGGAGTATTGAAGCCCAACACTCAAACAGGCCCAGTATAAATCCATAACGTAGCCTTTAGTTTCTATAGCCTTTTTCTCTTTACACGTGTATCTCTTGTACTGGTTATCATCCTCTATATATTGAGCCAACTACTGTACACAATGAGACATCAATAGACAATATATTCTGAGATGAGTCCTCTAGCATTTTCTCTCTTGTCGCTCTATTTACATTTCTGCTCCATTAATATAGGACAACAAGCCATTTCGTCCCGAGAGACAGTGAAGTCTATTTTGCCGACCTCGTGTCCACCTGCTAAAGACGTCAGGCGCACAATGAATGCTGAAAATTCATTGCACATACAATATTAATATTAAAGTTCTTCCAACCCGAAAACTGATACTTTTAATTTAGTTTTAATTTTTAATAAATAATTTCTCTGATTTTGAATGCATACTTTTTAGTTCAAATTGAAAAGCTAATCAACGACATTGGGATTGCATTTTCTGGAAGAAAGGAATTGATGTGTGTGTGTATATATAGTTTAAAATAAGAACTGCCGTGTGATTTAAATAAAATTCATAAAATCTTATGTAATTTCTTTCAAACTTTGTAAGAGGTAGTCATCGACTTCCAAAGAAATTAGCATAGAACTTTTCTATAATTAATTTATATTATACGGCAAGAGAAATTTCTCTCAAGTACTAAGAGGCATTTCTTCTAGTAAAAAGGGTTTTGACTGCTTAAACACGAGGACTCAGTTTTCAGTTTGTCAGAATACAAAAAACATCTTTGATAGACCTACTTAGCTCCAGTTAAATCCAACAATGTTCGAATCTGCAGATCCAATCAAATGGTTATATATATATATATATATATATATATATATAAATATCTCTCAAGCGGAAAAAGAAACAACAAATAATGAGTAAGAAGGCAGATAATCTATTTCCTCTGTTTTGATTCACTTCATTTGTTTGCTTTTCCTTTTAAATCTATTTCAAAAGCAAGTTTTACTTCTTGGCTTAGAAATTAACACCTTGGGTAAGAAAAACAGAAATAAGGGATTTGAAACTCAAATTTCAAAACTTCTAAAAAAAATCACGAATATATTCCACATGCATGTGTTAGCAAATTCAGGTGGGGATTGGATGACAGAGACATGAAGACGACGTCGTGTGTCCTTTCAACGGAAATGTGTGAAGCGTTCAGGGATTTTTTTTTTTTTTTTGGAAACCCAAACATTAATATTTTGCTATAAGAATTTCAGCGTTTGTAATACATTCGAGTGCCCAAATATAATCTGTGCCATGAATGGTTTGGCAATCATCGATACAGAAACATCATTGAATACTTACAGAAATAACGTGATTTAATTCTTGATAATGCGACACGTCTACACCTATTTGACTGAATACTAAGTTGAGTACGTAATTGGGGTGAACAAAGGACTAACGAGGATACATGTCTGAAATTGGATCTTCATCCACAGACCGTTGCAAAGACTTATTTTTAGATTGATCCGAGCTATCCTCGGAAATTGCTAGACTGTTGTTTGAATCTGTTCTATGGCGATCAAACAAAAATGCTGGCTCTTGAGGATCTGGCAGGGTGACGGAATGACTGTTTAGCATCACCATAATAAAATCGCAGGTCTTAGAGCTGGATTTTCCTGGATGCACAAAAAGCTTATATGGATGCATTTAATAACTTCATTGCTTGAACAAGAATGTCTTACACTAGGGTCCAGCAATTCTAATGGTGTCCCTTCCATCAAGAGTTTCCAGGCCTGCAAATCCGAAAATATATAATCAGGTTGTTAAGATTTTGTTCTCTCTGGTTACCATTTGAGTTTATTTACTTAGCTTTGCTAATATATATACTTACATAGGTTGGCAAGTTTTCAGCATAATTTGATGCATGGAAAGATGTATTCTTCTTGCCACTAATGATCTCCAGAATTAGGATGCCAAAACTATATATATCACATTTGACTGAAATATGACCATGCATTGCGTATTCAGGAGCAATGTAGCCACTATAAAATAGCACGCACATTACATGGTAAATAATCTCTTTTGCCTAATTCATTATAAATACAAAAAATAATACTAAACTGTTTATTTAAGCAACTTACAATGTGCCGACAACTTTACTTGTGCTGGCTTGAGTTTGATTAGTTCCAAAAATTTGAGCCATACCGAAATCAGATATTTTTGGATTCAAATCCTCATCCAACAATATATTGCTAAATTTGAGATCACGATGTATAATTTTCAATTGAGAATCTTCGTGAAGATAAAGTATTCCCCTTGCAATGCCTTCAATAATCTTGTATTGATTTGACCAATTCAATTTAGTTTTGTTTTCAAGTCCTATATGGTTAATAAGATGCAAGTTTGAACAATAATATAAACGGTTAAATTCATATCCCTGCTCAAGTTCAAACAAATTGTTAATAAAAAATTATACGACCGGATCCATAATTGATTGCAAAAAATAATTCTGCATAACTTACCAAACAAAAAATTATCCAAGCTTTTGTTGGGCAAAAATTCATATATGAGTATCTTTTCTTCTTCATCCAAACAAAATCCGAGAAACCTCACAAGATTTCTATGGTGTAGTTTTGCCATTGTAACTACTTCATGCTTAAATTCTAGTACACCTTGTTTGGAACTACTTGATAATCTCTTCACAGCTAACTCTTGTCCACCGGGTAAAATGCCCTGCATATGAAATAACCAACTATTAAAAATTATTTATAAAAAATATTAGTTTTGTGATTTCGAGAGTGCTTGAGATATATACATCAGAAAAATAAAATTATATACCTTGTACACCTCGCCATACCCACCTTGGCCTAGTTTATTGTCGGGGGAGAAGTCGTCTGTGGCTGATTTGATGGTATCCAAATCAAACTTTAGAGACTCTACACTTGAAGTCTCACCTACATGACCCAACACAAAAAATTGATCAATTCCCAAGACTTTCTTGCACTTTATAGCTATCTAAAGTACAAACATTGTATGTTTAATTTCAATGGTCAATTGAGAAGTGTTAGTTCATTAATGGTAGATCAAAGTGCTGGTTAGAATTAATTAAAATCAATAAGTATGTAAGAGATATAATTTTCCTTTCAAATATACCTCCATTCATGAAGATAACAAGTGAGAGAGAATGGGGGAGGAAAAAGATGAGAGAGAACGAGTGGATCAAAAGAATTAAAGACAAGATATATATTTAATTAATTAGCTAAAAATGAAAAAAATGCATTAAATTTTTAGACAAATACAAATTTTTGCCCATATACAAAACCAGGCTTATGTAATAAGAGAATGTTACTTGTACATAAAATCGGAAAAAGTATTATTCATCAGGAATGGAAACTTTAATTTATGACTCGCATGTAATTGAACTTTAATAAAATGAAAATTGCACGTCTTTCTAAACATGAAAGCCGATGCCATACCTGTTTTAGGAACTGAAGCATTCTTACTTGCTCTCCGCCACCGAAGGCACAAGAAGCAGAACGAGGCTTGCAATATGACTATCGCTGTTTGAACTACTATGGCGATAATTGTCCTAGCCGAAAGCTTGCCGTTATCTGAATAAATAAAAAAAACTAAGTCACACACACACACGCGCACACACACACGTACACATTTCTGATTTTTATCCAAATTATATAAATTTTAATTAAAAATATTTTATTAACTTAAACACGTATTCTTTGCGCTTGAGTTTTTAAATCGAGGGTCTTTTCTTAAATTTATAACCAAAACTGAAATATAAAGTATTTGTCAATAAGAAATTTTATGTCTATTTCAAAGATAAAAATTCAGCATAATTTACTATGAACTAATTTATGAATCAAACAACACGTCGCACCACATCAATCAACTGTAAATTTATCAGAAGTGTTTTATAAGTTTAGTCTGTCTCTACAAAAAAAAAAAAGTCGTCTCAAGTCAAGCTCTACTCATATCTTATATTAAGTACATAAAATAGTATGATTTTTGACAGGAAAAACTCATATACATCTTCTTTATAGGCCAAAAAAAAGTATTACTTGTACGCTAACACATGCGTAGTTGCAACCTGTGCCATGTAATCGAAAATAGTCAAAGGGGCATGGTCAAATAGACCCATGTAGCAAGAGCAGGTTTATAAGATTAAGAGGCTAATTTTTTGAGATTAGGTACATATAAATTGATTATATTTTCTAGGAATAATTTTTTTTTAGTATAGTTCTGAGTATTTTTAAGTTATTTTGGACTAACAAATACGCTTTTTAAGATTCGAACTTGTGTTCTCTTTGAGAGTGAGATCACTTAGTATTTCAAAGCTGTTTATTTTCTAGCAATAATTGAGGGGACATATTTGTGCTGATACTCATCAACTAACTTCTAAATTTTCATAACATCACACACTGTTCTTGTTTTAGATCTATTATATTGTAAAACAAGAAGATATCCTTACGATTGCTTACCATTGGAAGTGAAGGCTGACTCTGGCACACGAGGGGAAGGAAGCGACGAAATCACTCCATAAAAGGGGTACAATTCGTACCTTACGTTGCAACTGAAGGCGCGTGCGATTGCCCCTAACCTCCCAAAACAGCAATTCGGATACTCTCGGATTGTTCTTCTCAGACAGTTATAACAGTCATCTCTAGATATATCCGGTGTGCACTGCGCCATAGTGTACAGAGTTTGAAAAGAACTGTAGTTTTTTTCTTTCGTCGCAAATTTCTTGCTACCCCCGCCGCCGCGGTACGCCGCTTCTCTGGCCACCGCATTCATGGTATCGATCACCAGTTGCATAAAGCTTTTGGGATCTGTTGCGTTGCCGTTGTTGAAGAGGACGCGAGTGGGATCATCTTGCTCTATGGAGAAGAAATCGGCGTCGGAGTATCGTAACATGCACTTGTCGTACCAACCCAGGGCTTGGGTATAATTGAGGCATTGCTTGATATCTTTGGTTGCCCGGGAAACACATGCTTGACAGGCGGAGACGGTGGTGTCTCGGCGGCAGAGGTAGAGACTGTGAACGGCGTCGTCGTTTTGTCCGACGGTGGTGTTGTAAAAGCTACCAATGCTATTGGCGTTGGAGAAAAGAGTTGAAAGCAGGCGATTGAGATTTGAGTGATATGTGCTGTTTGGGGCACAAGTAGGGCCTGAACAATCCACCTCTGGTTCCTGTGCATTGATTCTAGCAATGAAAAAGATTAGAAGAGCAAGGAGCAGGAACGCCTTAATAGAATCCATGAAGTGAATCTTTAATCTTTTGGTGATGAAATGTGCGGTTTCACAGGATGATGCTCGACCAATTTATGCACCCACCTAGAATTTAGAAACAGTTCACTAAAAGCTTGTTTGCATCACGTAAAGTCTTTGAAATTTGTTGGGATAAAAAATTAATATTTAGCATGATTTTGAAGGTAAATTTTTATGCCAAAAAGATTTAAACGTTAGAGAAATTTTTTTCCCCCGAGTTTTGGCTTTGAAATCTTTTTTCCCCTTAGATTTAAATCTTTTGAATATGAATTTTCAATATATTATTCGAATAGGTTTCTATCAAAATAACTTATTTTTGTTAAAATTTATTTAAACATAAATTATTGGGAAAATTTCACTGTAGGACCGCAGAAGACAATTAATTTCAAAGAGCCTCCAAAACTTTCTGAAATTTCACTGCAGGACCAAGGGGGCAAACTGATATTAATTCCACACAAAAAAATGATCCTATTGCCCCTCATGTGAACAAGTATGGGAGAACCCATTTGCAAGTGAGGTTAGATAATTTACAACATGCATAGATATATTTACAATTAAAATTAGTCCATTTACATATTACCTTCTTCACCTGAAAAATGTGTCTGGGTGAACAAGTGTGGGACAGCCCATTTGCAAGTGGGACTAGACAATTTAAAACATACATATATTTATTTACAACTGAAATTAGTCCATTTACATGTCACTTCCTTTACCTGAAAAAGGTCTCCGTGAGTGAACAAGTGTGGGAGCACCCATTTGCAAGTGGAATTAGTCAATTTGCAACATATATACATTTATTTACAATTAGAATTAGTCCATTTACATATCACCTCATTCACCTGAAAAAGGTGCCTGTGAGTGAATAAGTGCGAGAGAGCCCATTTGCAAGTGGGACTAGTCAATTTGCAACATACATACCTTTATTTACAACTGAAATTAGTCCATTTACATGTCACCCTGCAATAAGTATTATGAGGGGCAATAACGTCATTTTCTTTGTGGAATTAATATCAATTTGCCCCTTGGTCCTGCAGTGAAGTTTCAGAAAGTTTTGGGGGCTCTTTGAAATTAATTGTCTTTTGCGGTCCTACAGTGAAATTTTCCCTAAATTATTTTACCCTAATTAATTTTTATCTCAACTCTTTAATTTGAAAGAGTCATTTTGCTTATATTAATCAGAACTAACCTTTAAAGATATGTCAATAGGACTTCATGGTGGCTGCGTTGTACAACCTCCCACTCTAATCACTCGCGAATAATTTATGTGTTCAATTAAAAATAAAATAAAAAGTCTTAAAAGACGTGTGAATGGGGCTCGGTGGTGGCCGCGTGACCGGTATACGCTCCAACTCCAACCATTCCCGAATAATTTATGTGCGCCATGAAAAATAGTTAAAATATTAAGATTATCATGAAATTAAATTAATTTTTAATATTATTTTTATCACCCCCAGCCCCATTACTATGTGCTGCTGGTATTAATTTATATCCTTTCTTACTACCTCTATATCACAATTTCTAATACTCCATACTATTTATAGGATAGAGAGAGAATATTTTTTGGTTATATTTATAAGGCACTCTATAGAAATTTTATATAGATATACAATTTTATCTTTCGTTTATTATTACGTTGACTTTGTTTACATGAGATATAATGTATATTAAATAAAAATAAAGTTAAAAAATTATTGAATTTTAAATGAGAATTAATGAAATTTAAAGTTTTTCTTAATTTGTGTAAAACATATTGGAAGTGACTTATAAATAGGATTAGAAAAATAATAATATATTATAATGGGATATATATCAAAATATATATTTAATGCTCCAACAAATCAGGAAATTAATGCCTGTCTATGTGTATTGATATTAGTGAGTGAGGTGACTTTTGTATGGAAATTAGTACAGAGGAAATTAGTAGATGCATGGCATAATTAATGCATATGCTGGTATTACTCTCTCCGTTCTTTATTATAAGAGACATTTGATGCTTATAACATGTTCCTAAATATAAGAGACACTTAAAAGTTGTCTTTACTTTTTTGTGTTGATTTCCTATTTTACCCATATTTATTGCCTCCAACTCACACTCTCTCTCCTTCCCACTTCTCTTTCTTTTAAGAATTAACTATTGTTCTCTCTCATGCTCTCTCTCCTTATTAATGAGGGCATTTTTAGAAAAAAAAAATTATACTTTTTACACATTAATTGTTCTTAACTAATTTTAACTGTGTTTTTATCAACGTAATTCGATTATTCGTCTCTTATAATAAGAAACGGAGGGAGTATTAATAAGGGAGGGGATACTCTATCCAAATTTTTGGATTAATCCTGTCCTTTTTATGTATGATCAACTGTATTTTGAGGTTGTCTATGCATTAAATGCATACTTACTACTCCCTCCGTTCCTTATTATAAGAGACGAATAACCGAATTACGTTGATCAAAAAAATAGTTAAAATTAGTTAAGAACAATCAATGTGTAAAAAGTATAATTTCTTTTCCAAAAATACCCTCATTAATAAGGAGAGAGAACATGAGAGAGAATAATAGTAAATTATTAAAAGAAAGAGAAGTGGGAAGGAGAGAGAGTGTGAGTTAGAGACAATAAATATGGGTAAAATAGGAAATCAACACAAAAAAGTAGAGACAACTTTTAAGTGTCTCTTATATATAGGAACATGCCATAAGCATCAAATGTCTCTTATAATAAGGAACGGAGGGAGTAGCTAATTGTTTCTTTCATTAATTGCATTATCCTTTTTTTCCCTACATCCTCTTTTATTTTTTGTTTTTAAATTTCTCGCTCTCTCTCACCTTTTTTCTCTCTCTCACCTAACTTGTGCTAAACAGCGGTATGTTTGAGAAAAGGAATTCTTTATATATTTATTATTTTAATTGACGTTAACGAATTCTTAAACCATGTATTTAATTAGTTTAATATTATAAAAAGGATAAGTAAACTTGTGAAAAATAAAACTCTTTCCACTAAATCTGCTATTTAAACTCCCAACCATTTAGATATATTAGGATAAAAAAACTCATGTCGCCTGTTTTATCAAAAAAAGGAGAGAACTACAATAAAGTCTTCAAGGAAAAAAATAATTACATAACAAATTTCAAAAGTTGTCATTTCTTATTGTAAAACTTGCTATTACAAACTGTTTAGATTGTTATTAGAATATTTTAGTAATTATTTTTTTATTGAGATCTTATTGTAATTTTTTCAAGAAGAAAGGACGCCATGATCTTATTGTAATTTTTTCAAGAAGAAAAGACGCTATGTCCCTTAAGCAAGCATGAGCTGGTTTTGCATGAATAGCCAAACCCCCCCCCCCCCAAAAAATAAAAAACAAAAAAAAGGGGGCTTAAATGTTAAATCAAAAAACTGGTATAAATCATGGGGGAAACGACGGGGAAGCCTGGTATCCGTACTAGAATCGACTTTTTTTTAATAATAAAGCAAAAGAACGGACTAGATTTAAAAGTAATATAAATTATTAAAAAGCACTTAATTAATTTTTATTGACCCCAGGTCAACATAATACCATGAAATATAAAATCCGGCCAAATTGACAGGCTCAATCGGTGAATTCCAAGTTATTGGTTTAGAAATATGATTAGATTAAAAACTTAATAAAATACTCTAACTATCCCTTTTTTTATCTTAATTACACAGACTTCTCTTTATTTTATCTTAATTACACAGACTTCTTATATATTTTGAAATTGTATATTCAACTTCAAACCATGCATAAATAATATTTTGAAAAGATTTTTAAAATATCCTTTTGAATTAAAATTTCTATTAAAATAAATTTGATTTAATAATTTCTCCTTATCCTACATTCCTAATTTACTTTCGATGGTTTGCAAAATTAGGGAAAAAAACCCGGGCAGCAAGAACAGCCATAGGGAAGTTAAGTGCAGCAATGGAGAACTAAGGAAGCGAAAAGAATGTATTTTTCCAAATCAAAACTCATATTTGTCCCTCACTCTAGTTCCAAGCTTGTTCTCGTTTTAAATTTTTTTTTTTTTCCGTTTTCATGGATACCGTCTTCTTCCCTCATTCTTGTTGGCATCCTATAGAATATGAAAATAGTTTTTTTTTTATAACGGTGAAAATAATTTTTCGAAATTTACCAAAAGGATTTGCTTGATGAGCCAAATTGTTTTAATTTGGAATAATAGTTTTAAATAATCGTAGTTGAAAAATTCAAAACATAAAATTTCATAATATAATCAAAATTAATAAATTTTATAACATGTTAGATAGTTGAGGTAAATGGAACTGACTATATGAGAGGTTGCTGTAAAGTTTATTTTAATTTTATGGAATATTTTTATATATGTGTGTGTGAGTTTTAAAAATATAGGGAAGATGTGTGTAATTAAAGCAAGGCCGAAGAGTATTGGAGTATTTTGTTTAAAAATTTTTGAACCGACATAAACTTCTCAATCTAGCGTTGAATGGGTCCAAATTAGCGAATCTCGGTGGGTTAATTAACTAGTTTATCGTGTTGGAAATCAAAAGTTTGCGCAATAAGCGGAGAATTTAGGGGAGGAATGGAAAATTGGGAAAAAGTAGGGACGGCCTTTGTGTAATTTTCCCAACACAATATGTAATGTCATACCCAAAAAAAAAAAAAAAGAATTAACTTATGTTAGATTGCATTCTCTTATAATTTTAGAGCATAATTTAATAGGCATAAAATTTTGAAGTTTATACACACACATGTATATGCACACACACAAGCTACTTCGCGGTATAGATTAAGATCAGACTAAATCAAAGCATTGAAAATGGGAAATATTAGATTAGATGAGCGCACAAACACGCGCGCGCGCGCACACATATATATAAATCTGGCTACAAATTTTTATTTATTTAAATTTGGAGCCCACAGGTAGAATACATATTAAATATTTATATGCGATATTGAAGATCGACGACTTTCCTTCCTGATGCCCCTGGCCCCTTCATAGAC